TTTTCTATCCACCCTCATACAGTATATGGATGATGGTACTGCATTTATTTTAATTAAAAACTAAATCAAAGTACCTTTTTCACAATCGATATCCAGCTCTTTCCCAGCCTGTCTGTGTCCCTGTTAGTGAGATTCACCCTCTCTATTGTCCTATTTACCATTATCACCAGGATTGGAAGTGAGAGAGATTTCTAGATTTTGGGTTGTCACCAGAACAGGAATCTTTTACCAGTGGAAATCTTTCAATGGGGACACTAGTTCTGGTGACACCCAGGATTCCCTCACTTTGGAGGGATTTCCTGTCACTTCCCTTTGTGGCTATGGGACAGGAAGTGAAGGGAAACCTCCCAATATGGCACAGATGGCAAAAAAATCTGACAGAGGTTATCACCGTTCCTTACTCTATCCAAAATTTGAAAAAAAAAAAAAAAGTTTTGCCTTACCCACCGGTTTACCCACATCAAGCCCGACTTTGAAATCTTGTGACTTACAGTGAAGTCACACAATTTCAAAGTCGGGGGACATGATGATTTCAGGTGCGATTTGCAAGACATCTGACACAGATGTCTATGCAAATCGCACCAAAAGTAGTGTATGTACCATTTTAGAAATCGGTGCGGCTCCGACCAAGTCAGAACCGCACCAATATGAGCGCTCTAATAGAGAACAATAGGGTGCGACTTGGCATGCGATTTACAAGTCGCATAGCATGCAAATCACATGCCAAGTCGCACCCGATGTGACCGGGGACTTAAGTTCTACTTTAAACTACAAAAAACTCTGGGGGTTTAATACTACTTTAAATGCATGGGGGGGCTGATACTTCTTGGTAGAATTAGGTTCACTAGTGCTGCTGCTTGATGCAGTGCGTTTTTGTAGTGTGAGTTTGCAAGTTTCTTTTTATGTTTTTCATGTAGATTTGTTTTTTTTTTTTGTAGGAGAAGGAAACTGGATTTTGTCCACTTGAGCACCAGAAGATTGTCCCCCTTTGTGACCAGGCCATTTTTGCTGTTCAGCACTGCGCTACTTTAACTGGTAATTGCACAGTCATGCAATGCCATACACAAATTACATTTTAATAATTTTTTCCCCAATAATAGAGCTTTCTTTTGGTGGTATTGATCACCCCTGGGTTTTTTATCTTTTGTGATATAAACAAAAAAATACCAAACATTTAAAAAAAATATATTTTTTACTTTCTGCTATAAAACATATCCATTAAAAAAATAAAGAAATCAAATTTCTTCATAAATGTATTTGGCTACGTCTTTGGTAAAAAAAAAAAAATCCCAATGAGTGTATATTGATTGGTTTGCATGAAAGTTATAGCTCCTACAGACTATGGTATATACAGTATACCGGATTTTTTTTCTCTCATACTACTAATGGCGGTGACTAGTGACTTATAATGGGCCTGCGATGGCACTGACTGACTGTAGGGGGAATTGACTAACTGCCATTGACATCAACAGTGACATTAATACAGTGATCAGTGATACACTGTCACTGTACTAAGGCCACTGGCTAGGAAGGGGTTAACATCTACAGCGATCAGTAGGTTAAATGCATGCCTAACTACCTGCAATGTGTGTAAAGTGTGCTGCTTTTACTAATAGATCTCTACGTTTCTTATCCTTGCTTTTCAGGGAGAAGAAACAGAGAAATTGTTCCCTCTGCATGGAGCTCTGTGTTGAATGTCAACACAGAGCTCTGAGCTGTGATTGTACACAGCTGATCAGCAGGTCCTGGCTGTGAGTCATTGGCTGGGACTTGCTGACAGGCTCCTACTGTGTACAATCACAGTGCGAGTAGGCACATGCACGTCCAAAACCCAGAAACAGGCAGTGACGTATACGGATATGTCGATCTGCCTGTGCGGAATGTCCATCTGCAGTATATTGCAGGCGGATGATACACAAAACTCTACTAAAAGCAGACTTAGGCTCAATTCACACCTATGCAGTTTGCTTTTTCTCCATTTTGCAGTGTTTTTTCGCACTTCGTGTTGCATTTTTCTACATGCGTTTTTGACACATTTTTGATGCGTGTTTACCACATTTTATGTTTTGCTCAGTTTTTTTTTTTTTTTTGTTAAACTGGAATTTTTTTTGTTGCTGGGCAGAATAAAAAATGCAAAATGTGGCAAAAATGCACTACCATGCATTTCAGCAGCTTCTCCGTTGAACTCTATTGTAGCAAAAATGTTGCTTTTTGCTTTTAAAAAAAGTCCCTGACCCTTTCCAAAAAAGCAGCGGCTCAAAAAAAGCGTAGATGTGAACATGTCCCATAGTAAACCATGTTAAATGGACTGTAGTGCGTTTCTGCAAAAAGCACTAAAAAATGCATTGATGTGAATGGAGCCTAAGAACACGCCTACATGCTCTTTCCATGTGTGCCCAAGGATATCTATGGGGACCAAAAAAAAGGCGCTGCACTGCACCAAAAGAATTTTTTAAAAATGCATTGAACTGATGGGTATGGGCACCATAGAGAATAATGTGATTTCCTCTGTCATGCAGTGCAGCGCGACAGAAAACGCAGGAAAGAACATGCAAATGTGAACGGGGGCTAAGCCTCCATTCATACCTATGTGTGTGTCGAGCCAAAAAAGTGCAAAAATGAGGCGCGTTTGCCAAGCGCTAGGTGTGATTGGGGGCTAAGATGAATGATCTGATGTGCCCCTAGTTTATGTATATACAGCACAGTGGCTAAATGGTTAGCACTTCCACCTGGCAGTACTAGGATCGTCGGTTCGAATCCCAACCACGGTGCCACCTGCCTGGAGTTTGCATGTTCTCTCTGTGCCTGTATGGGTTTTCTCCAGGTACTCCAGTTTCCTCCCACATTCCAAATACATGCTGGGAGGTGAATTGGCTCCTGTCTAAATTGGCCCTAGTATGTGTATGTATGGATGTAAGTTAGGGACCTTAGATTGTACACCCCTTGAGGGTTAGGGACTGATGTGAATGTACAATATATATGTAAAGCACTGTGTAAATTGACGGTGCTATATACAGTACAGTCAGGTCCATAAATATTGGGACATGGACACAATTCTATCATTTTTGGCTCTATACACCACCACAATAGATTTGAAATGAAACAAACAAGAGTTCTAACAGTGATGTCCAAATGCAAATAGCACACTTGAAATGAACTTAGGGACTCATTGTAATTGGGATGAGTAATAACACACACCTGGCCATGGAACAGCAGCTGAGAAGGTCCCATTACTTTTGGTTAGGGACACATATGAAACTGTGAATGTACCTGATTTGGATAAATATAAATGTAAGTCTGCAGTTAAAGCACATCTTGTGTTTCAAAATCCATTGTGGTGGTGTAAAGAGCCAAAAATGTTGGAATATGTCCCAATATTTATGGACCTGACTGTAAGTACCTGAAATAAATAAAAATAAAAAATATAGACCGGCAGTGCTGCTTCCGGGTGCCAACAATGCTGGAGAGTCAGCCATTTGCAAAGCAGCTGAAGAGTGTTGTCAGCCCCCTCAAGGCATTGGGTGGTATTCAATGAAAAGGTATGCTCCGGCACGATATTAGGTAAGCTGATGTCATGAACAGTCTATTCCCAGGTTCACACCTAAGTATTTTCTGCACCATTTTGCAGAAACGCAGTACAATCCATTTAACATGATTTCCTATGGGACATGTTCATACCTGTGCATTTTCACCCCGTGCGTTTTTTGGAAAGGGTCAGGGCCAGTTCACACTACATGCATTTTAGTTGCTTTTTTTTCTGCATCCAAAAAGCACAGAAAGTAGGTTGTATGGTTGTCGATGTCATAGTTCACATCAATGCTTGTAGTTCCAGTGCGTTCCAATTGCAGAACAAAAAGTAGAACAGGCTGTATTTTTCCTGCACAGAACTGTACGGGAACACGGTAAAACACATCAAAAATGCACCGGAACTCACCAAAAACGCACGTCCCTATTTAAAATTGAAGAAAAAGAGAGGGGAAACAATGAACTGTAACACATCAAAAACACACCAGAATGCGTCAAAAATACACCCGGAACGCATCGGACTGCGTTTCCATAGTGTGCACCAGCCCTCAGGGACTTTTTTTAACACAAAAAGTTGCGTTTTTTGGTTCTATAGACTTCAATGGAAACGCTGCTGAAAATCATTGTGTTTTTGCTGCAATTCTGATGCGTTTTACAGGCTGGTTCACACTATAGAAACGCAGTCCAGATGCATTCTGGATGTGTTTTTGCATGCACATTTTTGATGTTTTTGGCACTTTCCAGTGTGTTTTTGAGGCGTACCTGTGCGATTTGTAAGCATTGCAGTTAATTTTTCCCCTTTTTTCTTCAATTTAAATAGGGACATGTGAGTTCCAACACGTTTTTGATGCGTTTTACTGCGTTCCAGTACAGTTCTGTGGAGGAAAAATGCAGCCAGTTCCACTTTTTTTTCTGCATCCAGAATGCACAGGAACTGCAAGCACTGATGTGAACTATGCCATTGACAACCATGTAACCTACTTTCTGTGCGTTTTGGATGCAGAAAAAAAACACGCAACTGAAACGCATGTAGTGTGAACTGGCCCTAAATCCGCCTAGCAACAAAATTTAAAAAACGCATCAAAATGCGACTATAACGATTTCAGAATGCAAAACGCAACGCAGAAAACTGCACAGGTGTGAAGCTAGCCTTTGGTATGATCCTTATTGCGGGAACTCTGCAAAGGATGGGTGACGATAACTCTCCGCCTCTATAACAAGAACTATTTCGCTGGTAGAAGTCACATGACATCAGGTCACCTATGAAACAGTAGGACAGCGTTCACCATACCACCTCCTCAACGATCACTGCCCCCTAGAGCGACCTAAACGCCTCAATGGCGCATGCGTAAACTCGTAGTCCGTGCTCTGAGCATGCGTATTCTACAATCTACCTCTAGGGTTCCGGTGGGGGGTTGCCGTGGCAACCGAAGCCAACTTCTTCTACCTCCAGATCCCAAACAGGCCGGAGCAACATGTTGTCTGTACTGGACGCTCTGTGGGAGGACCGCGATGTCCGCTTTGATATCTCTCCGCAGTGAGTGCTGTGTCCGGGGAATGTGGGGGGAGCTCCGGGATCACAGAGAACATAGGATGCCGAGCAACTGGAATCTGTGCGGAATGGGGAGGAGGATGTGAGCTGTGTACAGAGGGACCTCACGTGCGGTGTTCTTCCTGGGAGATCCGTCACCTCATCGCAGGACTCTGCTCACACCTCAACACTACATACACAGCACCGGCCTCCTACTAGGACCCTGACATAGATATATATACACACTACTATCCATCCCACACCGGCCTCCTACCAGGACCCTGACATAGATATATACACACTACTGTCCATCCCACACCGGCCTCCTACTAGGACCCTGACATAGATATATACACACTACTGTCCATCCCACACCGGCCTCCTACTAGGACCCTGACATAGATATATATATACTACTGTCCATCCCACACCGGCCTCCTACTAGGACCCTGACATAGATATATATACACACTACTGTCCATCCCACACCGACCACCTACCAGGACCCTGACATAGATATATATACACACTACTGTCCATCCCACACCGGCCTCCTACCAGGACCCTGACATAGATATATATACACACTACTGTCCATCCCACACCGGCCTCCTACCAGGACCCTGACATAGATATATATACACACTACTGTCCATCCCACACCGACCACCTACCAGGACCCTGACATAGATATATATACACACTACTGTCCATCCCACACCGGCCTCCTACCAGGACCCTGACATAGATATATATACACACTACTGTCCATCCCACACCGGCCTCCTACCAGGACCCTGACATAGATGATATATATATACACACTACTGTCCATCCCACCTACCGACCATAGATATATATACCTACCAGGTCCACCCTGACCACCTACCAGGACCCTGACATATATATATATATATATATATACACACTACTGTCCATCCCACACCGGCCTCCTACCAGGACCCTGACATAGATATATACACACTACTGTCCATCCCACACCGGCCTCCTACCAGGACCCTGACATAGATATATATACACACTACTGGCCTCCTGCCAGGACCCTGACCTAGATATATACACACTACTGTCCATCCCACACCGGCCTCCTACCAGGACCCTGACATAGATATATACACACTACTGTCCATCCCACACTGGCCTCCTACCAGGACCCTGACATTATTATTATTATACAGTATTTATAAAGCGCCAATGGTTTGCTCAGCGCTGTACATTACAAAGGGGGACAGAACATGTGACAGAACAATACCAATACAATGCAAAACATGAGGGGATCGAGGGCCCTGCTCTTTCGAGCTTACAATCTAGGAGGGAGGGGATGGTGGCACAGGAGGAGAAAGCTGTGGGGGATGGAGTGGTAGGAAGAGTGGAGGAGGTCGGCAGGTTAGCAGGGGGTGGGGTAGGCTTCCCTGAAGAGATGGGTTTTCAGGGTGCGCCTAAAGGAGAGGAGAGTAGGTGATAATCTGATGGGTTGGGGCAGGGAGTTCCAGAGGATGGGTGACACCCTGAAGAAGTCCTGGAGGCGGGCATGGGAGGAGGAGACCAGGGAACTAGAGAGAAGGGGGTCTTGTGAGGAGCGGAGTGTGCGTGCTGGGTGGTACTTGGATATTAGGTCAGTGATGTAGTTCGGGGCAGTATGGTGGACAGCTTTGGACGTCAGTGTTAGGATTTTGAATTTGATCCGTTGCGCAATCGGAAGCCAGTGGAGGGATTAGCAGAGGGGGGTGGCGGAGATGGAGCGGTTGGAAAGGTGAATGAGTCTGGCAGCCGTATTCAGGATCAACTGAAGCGGGGAATAGCCAGCGGTGAGGCAGGCCAGTAAGGAGGGAGTTGCAGTAGTCGAGTCGTGATATGATGAGAGAGTGGATAAGATGTTTAGTGGTTTCTGGGGTTAGGAATGTGCTTATTTTGGCGATGTTGCGAAGGTGGAGTCTGCACGAGTTTGTTAAAGATTGGACTTGGGGCTGGAAGGATAGGTTGGAGTCCAGAATGACACCAAGTACTCTGGCCTGCGCGGCGGGTTTGATGGTGACGTTGTTGACATAGATATATACACACTACTGATCATCCCACACTGGCCTTGTCCTTGTATTCCAGAATCCGTATCCTTCTATCCATATACACTATATTGCCAATAGTATTGGGACGCCTGCCTTCACACACACATGAACTTTAATGGCATCCCAGTCTTAGTCTGTAGGGTTCAATATTGAGTTGGCACACCCTTTGCAGTTATAACAGCTTCAACTGTTCTGGGAAGGCTGTCCACAAGGTTTAGCAGTGTGTCTATGGGAATGTTTGACCATTCTTCCAGAAGAGCATTTGTGAGGTCAGGCACTGATGTCGGATGAGAAGGACTGGCTCACAGTCTCCACCAGGCCTGGACTGGGACAAAAACATTTTGGACTGAGCAGCCCAAAAGAAAAAGGGAAAGAAGCAAGGAGGGAGACAAGGAAGGAGGGAAAGAAAGAAGGAAGGAGGGAAACAGGAGACAGAAAGAAAGAGGAGAAAAAGAAAGGAGAGAAACAGGAGACTGAAAAAGAAAGAGAGATGCATAGAAGAAGGGAAAGAGAGAAGAAGGGAATGAAAGGTGAAATGAAGGAAGGAGGGAAATCAGGAAAGAGGGGAAAACAGGACAGAGAGAGAGAGAGATTGAAAGAAAAAAGAGAAACAGGAGACAGAAAAGGAAGAGAATGAAAGAAAGGAGAGAAACGGGACAGAGGAAGAGAGAAAGAAAGAGAGAAGTTTAAAAGCGAGAGAAAAAAATTAGCGAAACGGGAGACAGAGAGAAAGAAAGGAGAGAAAAAGAAAGAAAGGGGAGAGAAAGAGAGAAGTAAAGAAAGAAAGAAGGGGGAGAGAAAACACAAGGCTGGTTGGGAGTGTGGGCAGCTTTCTCTCTCCTCTCCCGTCTGTGGGGGGGAGGGGGGGGCTGTCAACACTGGAGAGGGCATATGCTGACAGATCCCCCCCCCCCTTCTGTGCTCTGGGGGATGAGGGGGAGCAGGGCGCACCTTTCTGTTTGATAGTAATGGCAGTTTATAGATCTCCTCCACAGACACCTGTAACTGACAATGGAGTGATCAGATACAATCCGCTGTGTGTCTGTTCTCTCTGCTCATAACTGTAGCCAGACAGAAATAAACATCTTCAAGCTGGACATTACTAAGATAAGACAGACATTACTAAGGTTTCAACAGACATACAAAAACAAGATAAGTAATGAATGATGTTTTTCAGTATAGGAAAGGATGGTGGATCCATCATTTCAGCTCTCCCCTTCTGTCTCCTCACATATCACTAATTATGGGCATATCAGTATGGATGCCACACCACTGTCTAAAACTCAATCTTTACAAAACTGAGCTCATAATAATTACTTCCTCTCTGTCCCCTTCCTAAACTATTTAATCAAGATCAATAGCCAAACTATCAGTCAGATGAACCTAACTCCTTTATCCACTCACAGGCCAGCATCCTGGCCTGTATCCTGCTCGATTCCCTGCAATCAGCCAGGCGCCAGGGCCCTAGAGTCTGATTATACTCCATTATCATCCAAATAACGGGCTGCACACTGAAGATGGTAAACTCAGCAAAGGTTTACTGCAATGACAGCACAATGCTCACTCTTATCCAAAGCCATGCCCCCAATATGTTTCACCCACAGCAGGTCCTAATCATGGGGATGACTAAGCCCTACTGTTGGTGAAACATGTTGGGGGCATCACTATGGGTGGGAGTGAGCGGTGTTTTGTCATTTCAGTAATCCCTGGCTGGAGTTGCACATCTTTGGTGTGTGGACCATTAATTGGATGGATAACTATCAGTCTCTTCACACATACTAGTGTGCTAGGTGTAATCCTGAACTGTGACCTCTCCTTTCAGCCCAACATTAAAATGAATTAATGAATCTTGTTGCCTGCCTGTGCAAACGTGGCTCACACAGCTAGTTAGGGGTGAACCTAGCCCTAAATCCTTCAAAAAATATCCCAAGTGAGTGAACTTTAGTCTGTGTGAAAGTTATAGAGTCTACAAACTATGGCACATACGAGGGGTCTTCAAAAGTTTCCTCACTTTTATATTTTTGTTGGAAATTATGAGGACGGGAGGAGTAGCAGTTGGTCGTGTCTGAGAGTGTCATGCGACTAGTCTGTCTGCAACGCAAAGGAAAGTGACTATGTAGAAAAGTGATGTAATTATTTATTAAGAATTTCAAAAACAAGAGTTTTTAAAAAAAAGTGCAGAAACTTTTTGAAGAACCCTCATATATTTTAAAACTGATCAATCCTGATGTACTGACAGCCTGCCTCATTTTGTAATGGCAGGATAGTACAAATAAACCATTAGCTGCCCGGCCAATGGCCGTTTGGCGGCTTCAGAAGTGCTGCGACATTCCAGGTGCACGCCATTAGGCGTGCTCCCGCACATGCGCAGTTTGCGGTAATGCAGAGCCTCGCAGCGGCGCGATCTGTCACCGGCCGTGTACCTCGGACACGGCCGATGACAAATCTGAGTACCGGCCCCCTTTGCTGGTACCATGTGACCTGCTGTGACCAATCACAGCAGGTCACATGACAGTTGTATACAATGGATGGCTTCATTCATGCCATCCATTGTATACTACTGCCTAGCTGTGAATGGTCACAGCTAATCACATGCACATGTCATGTGATTAGCTGTGACCAAATCACAGCTAAGCACAAAAAAAAAAAAACCTGAATGAATCGATTTCATTCAGGTAAATGCTTGCTTATAGCAAAGTAATTCTTTGCTATAAGCAAATTGTGTAAAAAAAAAAAAAAAATACTGATCACTTCCCCAAAGTAGTACAATGTTACTATGGTAACATTGTACTACTTTGGTCATAGTACAATATGAAAAAAAAATCTTAAAAAAAAAAGTAATATAAAAAAAAATATATATATATATATTTTTTTTCATACTGTCACCAGTCAGTGTCCCTGTTCACCGCCATGCCAGTTATA